GGGGCCTGCTGCCGGGGCAGGGCTGGCGGCGAGGGGCCCTGCCGAGCCGGCATATCCGCCGGTGCCGGCTCGCCCCTGCCGCGGGGCAGGGAGGCGGAGGCCGGGCCGCCCGGGCGGGCCCCGCGCTGTGCCCGGGAGGGGAGCGAGTTGGACCGGGGGTGCCGGGAGAGAGGAAAGCGGCCCTTTCCCGGGGCTCCTCGGCGGGTCCGGGAGGCCCTCAGCGCGGCCCCCGGGCTGTCACCGCCGGGAACCGGCCTTCCCGGGCGTGAGGGCGGCCCTTGCTCGGCCCGGCTGTTTTCTGCGAAACAAATAAGAAAGGAGGTGAAGTCAGGAGGCTTCTCAGGGCTTTTCCTCCTGTTGTGGCCCTCAGACACCAGCGGTCGCCGTCTCCGCAGCTTTTGTGTGGTGGTGTCGCTTCCAAGCCGAGGTTTTGGTCCCCGCTTTATTTTTGTATCGGGTAGGGTGGCCAGGGAGGCCGAGGGGACCCGGGGCTGTGTGTGTGCTCAGCTGGATTTCATCATGGAGACTCGCACATCGGTGCCCATCGCCGCCCTGGGGAGAGGAAAGCAGCAGGGCCTATTTCTGAAGCTGCCATTTCTCTAGGCCTCCTTCATCTTACCCTGCTTGTCAGGACTCCCCTACTGTCTGCACAATTTCTTTTTGTTTGTTTTTCGGTGAGGTGTTCTCCTGGCAGTAATGTCTCTGGCTTTAGGTGCCTTTCTCAGCAAGCCAGGACAGCCAGGAGATGGAATTTAAAGAGGTCATCTTTGGTTTGGTGCTAAAAACTGGCAGTGAAATACTGCAGGAAGTGAAGGCAGAAAGTGTTGAAGGAAAATGGTTCAAATGATTGAAAAAAAAAAAAAAAAAGAGCCTAAACGCCAAATCCTGTCTCATGTGAGGGGCAGCCTTTGTGCATTAATGTATGCCTCGATGCTGCGAATACTTAAGCATAGGCTTGACTTCATGTGTGCCTGTAGTTCTACAGTCTATTCTGCAGGACTATTCAGGTTTTAAAGTTAAGCATGTATTAATTAATTGCAGGTTCCTAGTTTGCTCTTTTAGTGGTAAAGTGGCAATTGGAAAGGAATGTTTTAAATAACGATGAAACGACTCACTGAAAACTCTCTGTGACCACATCTGAATGCTTTCAATAGACAGTGGAGGAGAAACAGCGGCTGCCCGACAGAGAAATCTTGTTGCGGTGAGCTCTGCCACGTTTTGAACCAGAGGGGATGACTGAGTGGTACAGGAGTGGAGAAGTTATTCTTTCAGGCCTAGTGGTTCAAGATACCTAATAAAAGTTATTCCTAGAAGAGTGTTTACATTATTGATGGCATACAAAACCAAAAAGACTTGCATTAATTTGAGATCCAGAAAAAAATAGGAAAAATGAATGAGTTGAACGGAAAAGGGGAAAAGTAGAGATAGTAGGGACCAGATGATCTTTTTAAATTAAAAAATAAATGAAACCCGCAACCAGATTGATAACATCATTTTGCAAGTGGCTGCTATCAAACAACATCCTATATATGGCCTTGCTCAACTCTGGTGGCCCTTTTAGAATTGCCTCATCCTGCTTAACACCACTGTGATGGACCTTCTGATAATAAATACTGCGCTGAATTGCATTTACAGGGTTGTGACAAATACCGAGCACCACATGCTAGGAATGAAACTTGGGCTCACAGAAGCAAGAGGATGTTAAGAACACTTCTTACTGTAGCTAGGAAGTTTGTAATTCACACACAGAACTGAGAAATAGAAACTTTTAACAGGTTTTGGGGCTGTATGACTTCAGATCATTGTTTCATTCTCTCTTTAAACTGCATGGGCTACTTAGCTTTGCTACTCTGAAAATGAAAACTTGATGCTGCCTGCAGTTTTCAGAACCTAGATAATTTGGAGCTTCATTTTCACTCGCTGTTATTGCTTGTGCAGCCTCAAGTGGACTCTGTTTCAGCCCTGAATATCAGCAACAGAACCAGTAACTAAGATATAAACTCTTAAAGGTTTTGGGTGCCTGCCTCCCAGAGGAATTCAGTTGCAGCTGAGCTGTTTTCAGCTGAGCTGGACTTTTAAATACACTTCAAGAAGTGCTTGGGCTTAGCTTTCACTGGTAGGACCACTTTTAAATCAGAGTTGTTTGGGTACCCTTCTCCCCTGTCGTTTCTCTTGCATATCACTTATATAATCCTGCTGTCCTGCCTTAGGGCCCATGGGCCTGCAGACTTTAGAGAGATGCATTTAACTAGTAAGAGTTCCTATGTTATTAGATAATCATTGTTATCTTACCCTCCATATGCCATCTCTCTGAACTATGACGAGGAGTTCCAAAGGTTGACAGTCTAATACACATAGGAGTATTTGCCTTTCACTCGCTGTGAGTGTACCGCTCTTTAATTGACTGCCTTCATGACAGGACTGAGATGAAACAAACATAAGGGATCAGTTGCTTTTTGTTAAGGCTTTTTCTTTCCTTGAATGACTCAAAACTTTTAGTCTTTTCGGGCTAAGTTGTCCAAGTGTGTGAAATCATATTCTTGATTTTCATTAGAACTGAATCCTAATTTTTGCCACCTCTTATCATATGTCCACCCTGCCGGTATTTCAGGTATTTTTGCCCTTTCTAGATTTCTCTGCAGAATCCAGATGAGCAAGCACCACTGTGGCATCGTCCTGACAGAGCATCCTTAAATTGGCTTGTGTGGGTTGGTGAGAATGGTAGAAGGGACTGCAGTCTTTGACTGCAGTTACCTTACTTAAGGACAGAAAAGAAATGTTGTTGCTTTATGGGGTTAATATTAATGAATCTGTGACAGTTTATGTATGGCTTGTCCCCAAGGTGTCTGCTATGCATTTCTGATCTACTTTTAGCCGAAACATAGTCCAGGAGTGCTACATTCTCAGCAACAGACAAAGGGTAGTGTACAATAACAAAGCATCAAGTTATACTTCCTTTTTTCTCTTATCTTGTGCTCTTCACTCATGTTTCCCCAGACAAAATAGGGTGTCTGTAAAGTGGTCACTCGGTGTTCAAAGCACTTGTGTTTCATTTGGGCTTTCAGGAGATGTTTCCTCTTAATAGTGAACTCAAAAGGCTGTTTTTAAGCTGTGTACCTTGAGCAGGAAAAATATGATTTTGGTTGTTTTGAATGTTGCAGTTTGCTGTCAGACAACTTTATTTGTATCATGTTTTTGATATCTGGGAGTGAATTTAGATTTTGGTGCCTGCTACACATTTTTGGGACCCCTCTCTACCAACCTATTATTCCACTGTATCTCTTACACTGCTACCTTGATGTGCTTTTAAGTAGCTTCTTTTCTGTTCATATTTTGAGGCAAAACTGAGCTTCAAAAGAAATTGAGTCATTTGCTAAAGCTGCCACTCCAAAATAATTGACAGCATAACTGCTCAGAACAAGATTTCTTCTTGAACCCACTTTATTTGACGTAATGACCTCAGATTACTGATTGTTTTAACACCGCTGCTATTAACAAATTCTGATGATGAAGTTTAATGCATGGCTTGCAAGCATGTGCAGCCTTAATTTTATGCCTGATAGCAGTGACATTATAAACTCTGTGCATTCACCAGCTGAAGAAATAAAATAAACCTCCCAGCGTTAGTCATTTTTCAGATTTTCTCTCGGGGCAAACCTTCGCAGTAGAAAAGTAGTAAGCTCGAAGGAAAACATTGAGTGCCTGCTGTAGTTTTCCGTGTTTTGGTCAGGGGAGTGTGCACGCACTTCCCCTCGTTTCTTTTTGACCCAATTTCCGCTTTCTTTTTTAGTCTGGCGTCTGACCAGCCAGTACCTGTTATTCTTTTATACGGTGTTTTCTTAACTTCGTGAAATTGTCCAAAAGATATTGAGGGATATCACCAGCTTCCGTTGCTTCCATTGTTTTCAGTATTGAATTGCACTTCTGAAAAGCATGTATGAAAGATACGACCGATTTTTACATCCATAAAGGACTTGCTGTTCACTACTGAATATTTAGCGGTTTCTTTGCTCTTGACAGTATTTTATTTTTTCCCTGCCTAAACACAAATTCTATATGCTTTTGAAAACTACGTGGAACTGTATTTTGGACAGATTTTATAACAACCAGACTGTAGTTCTGGTCAAAGATCTATAGTTCTCCTGAGAACAGCACTTTTCCTGGAGGGAGTGGGGTTCGATCGTTAGTAACGTATTGTCACCAGAATGATAAGGCACCATGTGTTAAGTTTAGCTCATAAATGAGAACACTCATTCACTCACTCCCAGGAAGCTGGACTGCTGGAGTTGGGGACCAGATGGAAGAGCTAATCAATGTCTGCTGAAATGGGCTGGTTTTTAGTAGTGTTCAGTGAGTTTTGGCTATTTGATACACCAACACCCACACTGCAATCTTTAAAATGTTGGGGTATTTTTTCGCAAAGGAGGAGAACTTCACTATGAGATCAATAGCTCAAAATTAGTAAGAACATATGTAATTACATAAAAATGAATTAATATAGCTGCTAGAAATAACTGCACTTTTATGGTAATTCCTTCAAATTAGACAAATAGCAGGTATTAAAGGCCTTCACAATGAATTTTGTTTTGCTTCAGAATCTTTATATAAGAGTATGTGTACTTTTGCAAAGGGGTGATTGCTGAGATTGGCAACGGTAACATGTATTTCTTCTCAGCTGGTAGCTAATAATTCATCCTAAAATAGAAACTCCAACTTCATCCTAGAACTACCTGTCCCAGTAGGGTTAAAGCACGTCAGCCAAGTGTTCAGGAGCTTACATTTTCCTAATGCCTCCCAGTGCTGGGCTTTGTGTACAAGCTGGTATCTTAGTCTTGGTCTTTACTTTGATTTTGTGTCTGAATAACTAAGTTAAGAGGGTTGGGTTGTTTTGGGTTTTTTTCATTTTTCAACAGTAAAACACATCTCTCAGAATAATACATTGCTGGTTTTACATCTCTGTTAAATAGTGCCTGGAATAGCTCTGCTGTAAAAAGCAGATTTATACTAGGTCCATCTGCAGTGGGAGGAGGAATTTGGGCGTGGGGATACTTTAACCGAAAAAGTAAAGAAATACAATTTTTTTATCTTGTTAGGAGTTGCTGACTCTGGTAGCCCAATGCAGGCAAAGCTGCCACAGCTCTCTATCACTAGGTCCAGTTGGTGACAGAGTTGATCGTATGTTCCCAATAAGTGTGTGTGTGTACACACAAGCATAGGTGCACACACGCTAATGGTATCTCTCTTCGGTATCTTTACCTTCCAGTCCTGGTCAGAGAAGACTCTGTGAAATCACTGTGTATTTTAATTAACAAGGGCAGGACCTGTCCCTGGATTACCTCTTCACCTCTGAGAAATTATTGACAGTGCTGAGAAGTGAAATCCTTTTCCTGGCACTACTCAGGGGCACTAAATTCATCTTGAGGCAGATGAGGCTAGAAGAACTGGAGAGGAAAATCACATCAGTCAAGGATAAATCTTTAATGTTATCTATCATGTGTTACTATGGAAATAGAGTGGTCTGAAAGGCCTAGTATTCCTCAAAAGTGGTCTCTCTGCCATTCATCAGCTGGAGTTGAGTTTTCAGTGTAGTTTTATTACAGAAAGATGCAAGATGATCATTACATTGCTTGAAATGCACACCCACATCAGCAAATGTGACATACAAAGCATGGTACAAAATATCATGTGCTCAGTCTTCGATTTGTTCAGTTATTCTTCTGAATTTCAATAGCCTAGTAAACTTCATAGTAAAATAAACCAGTTTTGTCCAGTGTGAGGTGTTCTCATACTTATTCTATGGTAGCTGGTGTGCTAAAGTGCTATGGAAAAGTGCTATATGGAAATATGGAAGACTTAATGAGCCCACAGGCTGTCAGGGAATGCATAAGCAATGCCAGTGTGAGTTCCTACTTGCCGTTTGTGAGGGCACGTTTCCACACAGGATGCAGGTGGAGATAGTTACCAAGCACCACTACTTCTTTAAAGTCTTGGCATTTCAAAGTCCTCTGTGTGAAGGGTCATTAACAATTAGCATTCCACTTTCTTATCATGGCAGGGCATGCTGTTCGTATTCTGGGGTGTACGTCTTTACCAAGATAAATTTAAGTGTTGTTAAATTAAAGGAAAAGGAAAAGATCTTTTAAAAGTTGTGGTTAGCAGGAGAAAATGACATGGCAAAAACTGCATGAAGCAGCTAATCGGTATTTTTAAGGGAGCAGGAGAGAGAAGAACAGAGTGTACAGAAAGGGAAGAGGGCATAAAAATTAGATGTAAAATACCATAATTTTTTCTTGGAGGACAGACTCTGAGATCTAAACAATTCAAACTCATGTTTCTAGTGCTGCTTTGCTGTATGAACAATTGCTTTTGTTGCTTCAAATAGGTTGTCTGGTCACAGAGACATCACAGAGATTATTACTGATGTTCACAAGCTAGGCAATATGACATGGGGTTTATGTCATGAATAATGTATGTAGTCCTTGTTAAAGGTAAAAGAGCATAGAATAAGAATTGTAGCAAGAGTCTGTAGCAGTTTACTTCTAAGATAAAATTCAATTTAATCTCTGAGGAAATATGTTTATTTAATTCCTAACTGTTCTTTGTTTGTTTTTCCCCCCTAGCTCGCGCCTTCCCTTCCATTACAAGAAGATTTTGTTTACCACTGGAAAGCAATCACCCATTACTACATAGAGACATCAGGTAAAAGAAGGAAGCTTTCTGGTTTTGTCTCTTTATTGTGAAAACTAGAATTCCTAACTTCAGTGTTGTTAAAAATTAAAGATTAAGAAATACTAAAATGAGTCATGTATTGTATCAAAATACCAACAATAATAATTAAAAATTAAAAATATTATGTACCTCCATTCATCCCTTAAAAAGTAGGCATGAACAAGGATGGAGGGAAGGTCTTCTTTCCTGAGTGCCACAAAGAGAATTGTACCTTTTCACATCTGACCCAATTTCTGTCTTCATCTATTCTGTTTAATCTAAAGAGACAACTACAGAAATGTGGTCCCTGCTGTTAACCTTTTTATTGTATTCCATCAGGGATTTTCTTTTTCTTTGTAAGATTTTAACAGAGGTAATTTTGTGGTCATACATTTTACCAGATGGATCTGAATTTTATGCACCCAGTGTTGGGTATTTTTTCTTTAGTGTCTTGTCTCCATGAAAGGTATTTTGGTAACATAACTCTGAAAAGTGAATTTGTGAGAAGATTAGAATGCGTTTTGCTAAAACTTATACAAACTTTATTCTACTCTTCTAAAAAATGGGTATTCTGATGAAATATGACTGTAGTTGCTTTTTGTCTTAAACTCTTTCCTGTTTTCCTGCAACAGCTATGTTGTAGGAAAATGTTCCTACAACATTTAAAATTTTAATTTTTGGTCCTAGGTCATTAAGTTGTAAAAGTGAATGTTACCATGCTTTCCTCAAGCTTATTATTTCTGCATTTCTGCTAGAGTACCTATTGAATCTGAGATGGGTCATCTTGTTTATTTCAATATTTACTTTTACAAGCTGAAACTCGACCCTTGGTTCTAAGTGCCCATCTTTTGGAACGCTATGTGATGTTTCCTAACGTAGAAATGACAGGGTGGTAGGGGAAAACTGACACCTGCGATTACGTGGTGCAGAATAAAAGGTGACCTCTCTCCCAGACTTTCAAATGTCTTGAGGAAAACAAGTTATCCACTTGGTGGATGTATTTCTATCCTCTGTGGTGGGAGCAGAATTATGCCTAGGAAGCTCAAGCAAAACACTCCAGGCTGACTGGACGTTGTGGCAGAGACCAAAATCACTCTGACATGGCAGTTTTCCTTTGTCATCTTGTTGCCATTCGCATGCAAGTGACAGTTATTTTTAGGTTATTGCGTAAGAAGTAGTAATCGTTTCCCTAGTGGGATAGTTGTTCAAGTAGAATTTAGCTGAAAAAATATAAAGGAAAATCTCCACGTGTGGATGTGCTCAGTGTGTTAATGCCAGCTCCTACTGCCAGGGGCATAAATCCACAGCACTTTCATTACTTTAAGAGTCTTACTCTTTCCTTCATAAAGTTTGACAAAATGCTATCTTAATGCATAAAGTATAAAAGACAAATCTAAAAACTTTTGAAGAATAAACAGCATGGAGTTTGGGTTTTCTTTGTTGTTATCGTTAGAAAAAACATATATTTAGTTATATAGTTTGTAAAGGATAGTGAATTTAAAAAAGCTGAAGTTAGAGGGTGTTTATAGATTTCAGAATACAATGTGAGGAGTCAAAGAGGAAGTTATCAAGACAGGGTGGATATTAACTGGAAGATTGAGAGTTGAACATTTCTCTCCCTAAGTTTGGTCTCTGGCTGTAAAAGTTTTCCTTTTTGACTATGTAATTAACATGTATTTTGAAATTTGGCATTTTACCTTTTCCCCGTTGCAAGGTCAGATATCTGCCTAATGTATGTTCTAGTTTACATTTGTTAAAATTCGATTTAAGACATGTTTAAAAACTTGCATTCTGTATATAAAATTCTTTAAGTGAGTGGTCATGTTTTTAGATCTTAAATTTGGAACTTCACTTAAGAAAAGCGAGGACAATATTTTAATAATTTCTAATTGCACATCTCTTCTATTTAGATGACAAAGCTCCTGTGACTGATACCAACATTCCTTCTCACCTGGAACAGATGTTGGATATTCTAGTTCAAGAAGAAAATGAGAGGGAATCGGGCGAAACAGGACCCTGTATGGAGTATTTGCTACATCACAAGATTTTGGAGACTCTCTACACACTAGGAAAAGCTGATGTAGGTACTTCTCAGCAGAGCAAGTGTGAGCTCCTAATTGTAACAGGGACTGAAGTTCTACAGTAGGTGGTAGTGTAGGACACTGAACTCTAGCGAGTAACTGTTTGCTTATGTTACCAACATATTTCAAATAACAGTCTTATACAAGTGTGAGCGAAGTGAGACAGCCAGTGAGATGCTGACTGACACAGAACCCTGAGATTTGTTACTCACCACTCTGATAATGTTGACAGTGAAACTAGAAATAGAAGAAACATTTCTGTTCCGTCTAGAATTTTTTCTGGCTTCTACAAGACAGTGTTATTCCTCTCTGTCCTTTGTTAAGTGTTGGGAGAGTCTTGGGTGAAAAGTGCTGTATTAAACACAAATTTTAGTTTTCCTGAATGTGGTAAGTTGTTGCTCAGAAAGACTTCCATGTTGGAAAGCATTAACTTAAGCTGATCCCCAGACAGCTTTCACATCCAAGTCTTTGGTAAGAACGCAGCCCTTGGCAATCTTGTCTGGTTCTTCTCAGGTCTGCCCTGTGGCACATGCAGAATTAGCATCGTGGTCTCGGTGCATTCTTGTTGCTGTCTTTTCTTGTCAGACTTTTGGGCTGAAATGTATGGGGTTGGATGGATCATGGAGTGAAATAACTTGTTAGCCCTTGCACTGGAATTTTTTGTATCATGATGGAGGTGCAGTTAGGAAAGCACAGTGTATCCCATTCCAAGGATGAATGGAGCAATCCCTGGTTTCATTCTCAGTCTTTTATACGTTGTCATGAGTTTTTAATCTGCTCGATTTTACATACATAGACAACGTAGCATACTAGCTGTCTGAGCCTGGGATGTTCCTTCCTCTGGAAGGACCAGAGCTCTACAACTCCTGTTCTTGTACCAGCTGTCCTATGACCAGCCTAAGATACCCAATGTATCAAAAATACTCAGAAATACGGCTCGTTCAGTAATCTATAAACTTTGTCAAGAAACCCAGATGAAATGATGACATATGTGAAGCGGGTAAAACTTTGTCAAGAAACCCAGATGAAATGCTGACATATGTGAAGCGGGTAATTAGTAGTATGTTTCTGAGAGTTGAGAGAAGTCATTTTGCACTCAGGCAAATACGCCTGTACAAACAATTCCTGTACAGCCTGTCTTTATACTGTGCCACTTGTGAGTTGGTACGTCTGAAGGAAACACACAGTTCGGTGCTTGCAAGATGTTGCAAAGATCTGTTGCAAAAAGAATAATGTCCTTTCACAGCAATCACTTAGATATTACATTATTGTAGAGGTGCCCTGGTGGGACACATTCTTTGCCATTCTTTTCAATGGATTGCTTGACAACTCGGTGATAATTAGGTATTAATAATCTGGGGATAATTACCTTGGAAGGAGAACTACGTTAGGCAGTTGTCATTCCTGGCTGTTGCCACCCATGCTCCGTTCACCCACGCAGTGAACCAGATGAGGGAAATGATGTGGGTTAGAATTAACCTATGGAATGACAGCATTTATTAACGTGGTAGAGCTCATTAGAGTCAGGGGGGATTTGGCTAGAAACAAAGGTAAATAAAAGACCACAGGCCATCAAATCTCCTCAGATAAGAAAGTGCTTTCATGTGACATGGGCCACGAGGGCCAGCAGGACGTGGGCCTGAGTGTTCCAAAGATATTTGTGATTTATATTCTGCTGAATCTCAAGGAAAACAACAGCTTTTTCTTGTCCTGGAACATCTGTGCATTTATAAAGACTTTATCTGTCTAAGGTTAATTGCTCATGTATTTAAAGACCATGTAGATGTTTTTTGGCACAAGACCATAAAAGACACCTGACCTGTGGCCAATTAATTCAGAGTTAATTTCCCGTTATCACTGCATTGATAGGGAATATTTCCTGGAAAGATTGGTGGAAGTCTTCACTAGAGCAATTAACTGAAAGTATGAATAATTTTAAAAAAAAAAGCAGTAATGAGGTGCAACACTTTTTGTTGATCTCTGTTAATATCAACAAAAGTGATGTGTTAACAGATGATGATTTTAAAAAAAAAAAACTTTTGGATAAGTTACGGCTGTTTAATTAGCCATTTTGAGTGACAAATTTTCATCTATGTTTCTCTCCGCGTTTTTTATATTTTTGCTATTGTTCATCTGTTTTTCTTTCAGTGTCCTCCAGGAATGAAACAACAAGTTTTGGCTTTTTACACAAAACTTCTTGGAAGAATACGGCAACCTCTTCTTCCCCACATAAATGTGCATAGGCCAGTGCAGGTACTGTTCAAATTTTAAATAAAACATATTTTTATATACCAAGTTACTCTTACTCTGCTGTAGGCAGTAGTATCATTAATTCTTCCATTGTTGAGTGAGTTAAAGAAACCGCTCAAGTTCAGTATTGGTTTTAATGTTTTAGTGATTAGAGCCTTGTACTGCCACTACAACACAAGTCATAAATAATAAAGAAATCTTGTTCATAGCAATCTAAATCTAGAGTAAATGTTCAAGTCAATAATCATGCATCATTGTAGTGTGTATAGAGAAAAAGAATTCAGTCCATCATTCTAGAAAAAGCTCTTCAATTACTCCCTGTCTTAATTGTTCACTTTTCATTACGTGATAGAAATTAATCAGGCTGTGTGGTGAAGTTCTGGCAACACCAACAGAAAATGAAGAAATTCAATTTCTCTGCATAGTATGTGCAAAGCTGAAACAGGATCCATACCTAGTTAACTTCTTCCTTGAGGTGAGTAAGTGAAACCAAATTTTGCAGGTGTATTTACGGTGTCACAGACAAACTCTAATAGAGTACCACATTGTGCTTCATAGCTTAGCTTTCATTCACCTTGTGATTTATTTCCTGTGATGTTAGAAAGTTCTTTGTTGTTTTTTTGGTGTTATTTTTCTTCCAGAGACTTCATATATCTGATTGTTTTTTTACTTAACAAATATACCTGCCTGAGGTCCTTACCCTTTGTAGTGAAAGTGCCTTTAGAGTAGTGAATTGTCATGTAAAGCACTGTGTGAGGGAGACCTTGGATTTCTGTCTTCAGCCCAATAAAGACGAAGAGACAGATTGCATGGGGCACTGAAACCCTGCAAGTTGCTAAGTGTTCTGCAGGATTGGGCCCTTATTTGGTAGTGACACATATGGTCTAGCTGCAGTGCCAGCTCACAATCTACAATATGACATTATTTTCTGTCTGTATGAAAGCCAAATATCTTTACTCCCTCTTCGAACTTAACATGTGGCATTGATGAAATCAGAGTGGGAGGAGAAAGAATTTCCAGACTGACTTTCTGTTCCAATTTAGAACGAGAATGTAAAAGTTTTAATTTATAAAAGTCCATTTAGAAATGCCTCCTGCTCCCACTTTGATGTTTCCTGTGGGGACGCAGTATCTATTAAGCATGTGATACGTAGGTGAAAAGACGTAGATACAGTGTCCTTAAGGAATATCTTACAAGCTTTCCACAAACAAGATCTGTAACAGCAGATGCTGATAAACTGCTAAAATAGTTGTTTTCCATTGAGTACATGAATATCACTTATAAATCACTAGTAGTAAAGAATCCATCTGGAGTTTATTTTTACCTTAATTAAATAGCACTCTGATTGCCATTGTATCCACTGTAGTTGTACAAGCAGCAGGAATGGTGTAAGGATGGTGTAAGTTAGTGTTTGAACGTTAGAAACACTCAGAAGCAAACTACTAGATATATTACATGCAGAATATGGTAGAAGTCCAAACCAGGATTACTTTTCATGTTATTTATGTAAGTTACATGGTTTGAAAAGAACCCTCTGAATGACTCTTACACTCAAATAATGCCCTTGAAATAAAATCTGAGAACCCCAGTCATAAGAACCACAAGTATTTTGTCAGACTTTAGTGTTCTTCCCCAAAATAGCAATATTACAATATTAAAAATCAGACATTGAAGAACAGATTGGGGTACAGAATTGTCTTTTATTAGAATAGAATATTGTGATTATTCACATCTATGCCTCTTAGAGGTGCTATTGTTGTGACTTGATAGCTCTTTCTGACCTTCAAGTGCATGAAAGGGTAAATTTACAGAATTCTGCGTGGCATTTAACTCTCCGATCTCTAACACACATAAACTGAAGTGCAGATCCACCTCTCCAAAGCAGTCTGTGTCTGTTAGTTTTGCTTCCTTCTTTGACTTTTCCTGATCAGTTTCTACAGTATTTTATGAACAGAAAAAAACTCAAGTGTGTACAAACCCAGGATTTCCTCTGTATGATTCCATATCAAATCGTTTGTTGACAGAATGCTGTTTATATTTTAGTAAAATCTTTCACATGTATTGCTTTAGCAATGAAGCTGTATGGCATCACTCTATCTCTTGGGCAAGTTACATTTGTTCTGGAAATAAGAACTGAAAGAACTGTATTCTACTTGATTAAACCTTTAGAATCCATATATTAATTTTATTTTTACTTCTCTTTAGGCTGAGTTTATTTTGTTCTTGTGCAGAGAGAAAGAACATACATAGGAATGTTTGACTTCTCACCTCTATCTCAGTCATTATTTTATTTTTCCCTTGTTTTTCCTTGTTTGTTTATTCCTTAGTTGCCTCATCTCATCGTATCCCATCTTATGCAAGATATTCCTTGCAACTGATTGTTCCATGCAGAGGGACACTTGATTCTTTGTGTTTCAATTTCTACTCTTGAGACCTTAAACAAGTTCTAATATAGTGTCCATTAAAAAGTAGTACCTTCAGTTTATAAAATGAACAATGGTTTCACTATTTACTTCTACTTTTATTACTACAAATTATCAGCCTCATATTTCTCACCATGAATTAAGTAGAGATTCTCATTAGCTGTGATATCATTTGATTTTTTCACAGAATTCCTTTTCAATCTGTCAGAATTTAGACATAGCAACATACCCCACAGGTTTTGAAACTCTGATAGTTGCCTATCACAAAAATATAAAAATATATTAGGGAAGTGGATTGCATTGGAAGCATTGAATATGTGTTTTATGTAACCTTTTCCATTAGGTCGTTCAGGATCCTGTTTTGCACGTTTACAAGAGGCAGGTGAGCAGCTAAGCTGCAGAATTGCATGATTAAACAATAGGAAGCTTAAGTACATGCAAAAACTCTGCCTGTGTGTTGTTCAATGTACAGACTGCTTTGTGTCACCTGCCAGCGTAAGAGTAATGAGCTATGGACAAATTTCTAGGGGCATTTATACATTTGTGTGTGTTAGGTCTTCTCATCAACGCCTTAGCTAAACAAACTATGGCCTTTCAAATGACAGAAGAGTCCAGACATGAGATGAAATGCCTATGTAAGATAAAATAAGTATGTTACAAAATTTTATCTAATTTCTGAAAAAAAGTAGCTTTTCTCTTTGTCAGCCTCGCCTGCTACTTGGGTAGTGGCAGCAGCAGCGTGCAATCCAGGACTGAAATGCAGTTCCAGAGTTTAGTTCTGCTTTATGTGCAAGGCTCATTGTTGGGATTCAGTTATTCCTGTGTGTTGATAAAATACATGGGAGGATACTGGAGGACTTTAGAAGATTTAGGGATAGACAGACATGGTTCAGGCAGACACATTTTGGTTGCTTTGCAGCCGTACGCATTTCACACTGTAAAGAAAAATATCTATGTGTGGAAGGAGTAATTTTTCTACTGTAGTAAAAAATCATACTGATTTTATAGCATGCAGTGTGCTGCTCTTACCACTGGGTTGCCTCTCCAGGGAATGGGTTTTATGAGTGTATCACAACATTCAGTACAAATTCACCAGGCTGAATGCACATCAATCAAGCAAGTGTTCACAGCAGTGCTCTCCTTTGCTGCCTGAGCCTGTCGCGTAGTTGGTCTCTGCTGGTTTGTATGTACTAAATGCCATTAACCCCAAATGGTTACTCTTGTAAATTATTAATGCTTGACATATATTTGTAATAATTTTGGTGTTATCATAGAGAAGGGGAACCATTTGGATTTATAATCTCACTACTGTACTCACTTGAAAAAATGTCTTGTGTTGAAGTCTAATTTATGGTTCTAATAAAGTATTATTCACCTGTGTGTATGCCAGAAGAACACTGAATCTTGCCTTGCTGTGGGTTTCTTCTTGGTATCACAGAGCACAAATTTAAATGCCTTTTTATGTGCTGGAGACAGATTTATGGGAAGACACTTGGGTTACTTTCTTTTAGGCTATGTAGAGATGCTTTGTAGCTTCCGAGAAGGTTCTCCGTGACCTGTTATAGTGTCCAGTGCTCAATGCCATCTTCTAGCATCTTCTTTCTATTCAATCTACTCAATTTTTTCTTCATGAGAAACACAACTTGAGAGTACTCTGCTGTCATAAAAGATGTTTTTTCCCCTTTCCTGTTAAAGATAAAATCTCAAGAAGTTTAGAATGAATTGTATGACTCCAACTGCAAATGGTGTTTCAGACATTAGATGCCTTGACCTAGAAAGGGGTGTTTTATAGTGTGTGCTAAGGTCTGACGCTGCACTCATAAGGTAAATGAAAAAATTCTATCCAATCAAGTGAGTATGTGCCTTCAGTGGTGGAGAGAAGAAGATGCCATCTCTTTGTGAATGCCATACTCATCCTTGAAGCAAAATGGTAGAGGCCTTAGCAAAATTTAAGCAGATAAAAAATTGTGCTAGGTTTAAAGACTGCCACGCTCCTGCAAGCCATTAATTCTAGGTGGTTACTGTACCCAGCCTTGTAGAGAACTACTTCAAATCATGATGTAAAAAATTTTCTTTTAGTAAATCTCTGCTTCAGGATGAACAATAATTTCAACCATGTAATTCCAACAAAATGCTTTGCAGAGTAAGTTAAAAGCAATGGCTTCCAAAGGATCAGCAGGTGTCATCACAGAGGAGATGCTGAAAGGCCAAGACTCTTTGACAACAGACACGGGGCAGCCTGGTCAGTCTGAAGAGATTCCGGGTGCCGCTGGGGCAGAGCAGATGGAGAAGGAAGATGACCTCCCCCAACAGGCAGATGATCTCTCCTTCAGTCTGGACGAACTAAATGTCACATCATCACCCGAGTCCTCCACTGGTTGTCCAAATCAAGACTATAATTTAGTGAATTCTCTACTAAATCTCACCAAAAGTCCTGTGAGTTGGTTTTTTTAATTCTTTTAAATGTGATTAAATGATGAAATAGTTTGGATGCTGTGTGAAGTGGGAAGAGAGAGTGAATATACATGCATGTACACACTGTATTTTAACTATAAAAAGTAAAATAAGGTTTGTTTTGGCATTTTTCTTTACCAATTCAGATTAAAGTAAAAATACTATTTTTGAAAGTTAAGTTTGTTGATGGCAATGTGCTTTTGATCAATTTATATAGGATGCTGCATGTTTCACAGACAAGCCATATAGGATAATTGTTAGATTAAACATACCACAAGAGAATATATTAAAGTCTACTTTCAATTCTTTACTTAATCAAACCCACTTTTTTTTTTTTGGTAAAGGGACTGGGCTATCTTTGGGGGTTTGATGTCTTTTAAAAACAACTGCTGTGTGTTTTACCCAGCTCCATCCTCAATTTCATACTCAGATTCTTTCAGAAAACTTAAAGGAGGGTTGCTCTTTAATTGCTACAGCAGTGCTGAGAGCAGAACACCGAGTCTTCTGATGTACTCGTTACCATTAAGTGATAGTTGACATTGTCTAATATCTTGGTCTTAAGCTGACCTACAGCACCAGTTCTGTCAACCTGAAGGTTGCAGTTGCATTCTTAGTATTTGACATGGATTCAGGTGAGATTCTTTATTTCGTACCACCCAAATTCACTGGAATGAAGTTTTAATGACTGAAAAGGCAACAAAAATAAATGCTTTTGCTCGCTGTGGGGAAATGGAGAGGTTTTATATGGGAGATGTTTGCTTCTTGATTTCAAGTGAGCTTCATTCACCCTCTGATTAATTCTTCCATGCCCTTCTGCCAGGACGGCCGGATAGCAGTGAAGGCCTGTGAAGGCCTCATGCTTTTGGTGAGTTTGCCAGAACCAGCAGCTGCCAAGTGCCTGACTCAAAGCACTTGTTTATGTGAATTGTTGACAGACAGGCTGGCCACCCTCTACAAAGCCCTGCCTCAGTCACTGGATCCCTTAGACATTGAAACAGTGGAGGCAATTAACTGGGGGTAAGAACTTTATTTTTGTATTTAATACCCAAGGTGATTTTACACCCCTCCCTGAAACTAATTTTCTATAGGTAGATGTATAAAATATCCACACCCCCACGCTAAAGTCTCAAGAGCAGAGCTGAGATCCCAGCCCCAGCGTAGCGGTACTACCTCGGGTGCCCAATTTACGTGTAATTTCTGACATGGGGCCAGGTTTGGCTGCCAGTCCCTTGCAGAGATTCCCCAGGGGCCAGGTTTTTCCACTGAATTATATTAACGATTTGTGATGGTGTAGCTGCAGTATCAGGTACAAATTATTCCAAATTATTAAGGATTTAGGAAACATAAACTTTTCACTGTACACAGTGAGCACTATAAGCTGTTGCAGGGGGCTGTTGTTGCAAAATTTTTTCAGTAAAAAAGAAGAAGGAAAGAGTTACTGCATACCTCATCGGCATGAAGCAAAAGCTACATGCCTGTTAGGATAACTGCTTGCATGCTAGATTTTCAAAACACTTCTCTTCCCCACTCTGCTTTCATTATTATGAATTGCTTGTGATCTGTTAGTACTGAGACAAAAAGCAGTTATATGCAAAATAACTATCAAAATTTCTAGGGGCTGGAGTTTGAAGTTAGAAGGGAAAAACCGACTTTGAATAGTTGGGTAAATAATAATTGGACTGCTTTACCAAAGTAAATGGTGCATTTGTTATTCTGTAGAGCCTATAAATTGAGACACATGTGGTTTTTTTTTCTGAAGGACACAATCTAGTTCAATTCTAGTTCACTGTGTGGTTTCGATGGGCTTGATTGAGGTTGTTACAGAGTAGAGAAGAACAATTGCCTTCATTTTATGGTGCTCTGACTACAGGAGTTATTGATTCGGTGTCTGTGGTCTGTGTTTCCTGGGAGAGCAGGCTGGGGGATCAGTTTTCCCTTCTGACTCAAGAAATACTTAAACAAACAGAGTTCTGCTGCTGTACATGCTACATATCCCTTAGCATGCCACAGAAAATTCCGTGTGATGATAGCACTGCGGGATTAGTAGAGACTGGCAGAAAAGCCAGTTTAATGTTCACTTAATTGCAAGTAGATCATTAATTATTCTGTTAAGTTCACTAAGAATGAAGTCAAGGTTTCTTCAATTGCTTGTAGACTAAATACATGTTTTTCCCTGTGTTCTCTAGTTTGGATTCCTATAGCCACAAAGAAGATGCATCTGCTTTTCCAGGGAAAAGAGCGTTGATTTCATTTCTTTCATGGTTTGACTACTGTGATCAACTCATCAAAGAAGCACAAAAGGTTTGAAATGTTTGCAGATGATACGAGTCTATTCACCAAATAAGTAGTTCCAGTTGTTTCTTAGCTTTTGAGTTTGAGACATACTGTTTTGTACTTCTGTTTCAGGCTGCTGCTGTTGCTATGGCAAAAGCTGTGCGGGAACGATTTTTCATTGATGTTATGGAACCCCAGCTGATGCAAACGTGAGTAGCATCCTACAAGACACAGCAGAACAGAATCTGAATCAAGCTGATTTTTTTTATTCAGCTGAAATTCACTACATATCTGACATGGAATGTTTTGTTCAGTTCAGAGATTGGGATCCTCACATCAACTGCACTATTGCATCGCATTGTTCGTCAAGTGACTTCAGATGTCCTCTTGGAGGAGATAGTTTATTTTATACTTGGAGAACAGAGAGAGCCAGAAACTTTGGCAGACATCAACAGGCATCCATTGCGACACAGATTAATCGAACACTGTGATCATATTTCAGATGAGGTGAGAAGTGGTAATGATGTGCTAATGTCTGCCCGACACTTCTGTCTTGCATCAGTTTGTTGAATGTTTACTTTTGATGTTGCAGATCAGCATAATGACCTTACGAATGTTCGAGCACCTTTTGCAAAAACCCAATGAACATATTCTTTATAATTTGGTTCTGAGAAATTTAGAAGAAAGGAATTATATGGAATACAAGCCTCTCTGTCAAGAAGATAAAGATGTCGTAGAGAATGGACAGATTGCAGGAGCAGTGTAAGTTTCTTTTTTTAAGGGCAGTTTTCTCAACAGCTAACTTGGATCCTTATTTTTAAAACAAGGGTTTTCTCAGTAGTTGAACAAAAAGTGAGTGTAGATAGTACTTTGAGTGCTGTATGTATTAATCCATGTCCATAAAGTGAAGCAGAAATTGTTATATCAGCAACTTACGGAAATTTTTTGAACAGCAACAGAAAAGCTAAAATTATCAAAAGGCTTTCTGCAGAACAATAGGCACTCAGAAGTCTTCAGATATCAATTTACTTATGGATTTACCTAGCTTAAATCTATACATATTTGTATTGTTTTCAATGAGATTATTCTTCAGTCAGTAACTTAGGTGTCTTGCTTGCATTTATGGTCTTGAATCAATTTTGGATGGAAGCACTTTTCTGGGACATTTTACATGAAATTATTTTAAATATCCTACGTAACTCTTGTAACTCCTTTTTTTACTGATGGAGGGGTGAGGACTAGTCACACCAGCTATTTTAGGTGTCTTCATTTAGATATTTCTGAGTCATCTAGACAACGTCTATTCATTTCCTGGAATGTAACTCTTTCTCATGTGAAAAATGTGGCTAAAGAGATTTAAGTGATTTAGCACTGTGATTTTGTGTGAGTCAAAAATGTCTGCTCTGTTGTTCAGACCAAAATGTTATGATTTTTCTTAAAAACAGAGTTAGTTGAGTATTTGTAAAGGTTGGTATTTCTGCATTAGATAAGTAATTGTTAAGTATAATTATTTAAATTAATATTTAAATAAATAAATATTATAATTGGGTGAAATGATGTACATATGATAGTGGTCTGGAAAACATCCTAGTTGTTCAGAGAAGGATAGTAGAAAGCATGCCTTTTGACAGAGAGGTCATGCCTTTCATAACATTCGGTGAGTAATTATGGCTTTGTCTAATATAATCTCACAGAGACCTAGAGGAAGATCCGTTATTTACTGATCTGTCTCCAGATAACACGTTGTCAGCTCAGGAGTGGCTCAGTGCTTCTCCACCTGTCAGTCCAGAACATCCAAAAAATGATGGGAAGACTGAAGTTCATAAAATTGTAAATAGGTAAGCTGAAACAAACACTTAAAAGAAATGTCTGAATGTGTGGGTGTCTGCACACACTGTGCAAATTAAATGTACTCTGTAATGGATGTTATTCTGTGCCAGCTGGTAAAATGACTCCACAGAAGGAAATTATGTGGCATTTTATCAGAAAGCTACTCCTGAAAGATTAGAGCTTACAATAAGTAAAAATAATTTAACATAAATGAGAAAAATAGATCTTTACAGCTAATAGTCTGGTTGAATGCTTCAAATTCATAATGAAAGCCTCACTGATTATAAAACTTCCTTTTCTCAAAAATATTTGCTACACTTAAATTGCTGTTAGAGGAATTGACCTTCCTGGAGACATCTGGGGAGTCTTACATAAATGTTTTAGGGGAAAAAAACCCTTCAGACTCCTAAAGGTTCCTTAAAAAGGAAATAATTGCCATGCTAGAGATAACCTTCTGTTCCCTGAAAATCAAAGGGCATCTTTGTCACCTGTAACACACCTTTGTGCCTGTTAGATGTGCTGCAAATTGGGTATCGAAAAGAGGACAGGCTCTGCTCTGAGCAACTTAGTGATGGTGATTCTCTTAGAAACTACTGTTAGGACAAATGCTGTTTGCTCTGGTCATACACGGTAGCAAAGCAGCACTGGTATTGCAGTGCTGACCTCTCTACTTACCCAGAAATAACCCAAGGTGTTGGCCAAAGGAGCAAACAGCTTGAGGACAGTCGGCGTAGAAAGGCGCTTCTTGCCCTTCTTCCCCCAGTACTGCTATATATAGTCTGTGGTGGACATGGTTTGGAGCAAAGACACAAAGAACACTCTCCTAAATTCACCTCGTGTAGTCTCCATCAGCGAATAGAAATGTTTTCAGGATTTGCAGTGGTTTGCATATTTGTATTTTTTCAGATAAGATGAATTCCATCCGAAAAGTCAGCTACTACCTGTTTCTGCATAGAAAGCTTACAGGAGCCTCCAGCAGCTCTTGGGGTGTGGAGAAAGCTGATGTTTGGAAATGGGGTCCAAAGACTGAGCTGCATTTTGCTATCCAGAAATTTTAGGGCTTTGTATTTATTTTTTAAAGACAGTTCCTTTCTAATAAGATTCAGAATTTTCTGAATTTTTTTAGGTCAGATTTTGGTGAACTAATAAGGACGTAGAGCGTTTGCACTACGTATCTGGGGAAGGCAGTGATATTTGGAACTGGGACATTTATATGCAACTATTCCTCTATGTTCTTAGATGTTAATTTTTTACCACAACAAACTATGGTAAATAAGACCGCCTATGGTTAAGGTTAAGAAGAATTTCAATTTTAATTCTCCTTCTCTTTTGGCTCATTTATTCCCCAGTATGTTTTCCATATGCTCTAGCAAGATGGAGTCTGACCTTTAGCAAATGCATAACCTGGTTATGAATATTCCTTTTCATCTCCGTTCTGTCTGCTGATTCTCAGGAAATGCTTCCACTGAGGTTTTTACCTCTAGTGCTAATACAAAAGTTGTGAAGTATACATGGTGTTATTACAAACAGGAGTTAGAATAGATGTGCTTAAATAAAATAGACTTTGTATTCTCTGTTCTTCACATAAAGTTCTGGTAGAATCTGTGCATTAATTGGCCAGACAATTCAGTGTTGAATACACTGTTACAGATGATGAACAAGTATTGATCTAGTGCTCTGTGGATTATAGATATTCATTAATGTACCTTTTTTCTCTTTAGTTTTCTCTGTCTTGTACCTGATGAAGCCAAGTCATCGTACCACGTGGAGGGTACAGGTTACGATACTTACCTCAGAGATGCCCACAGACAAGTAAGTCAGTGAAGCATTCCTTAGTCCTTGGGAATTTGAAATGCTTATGACAATATGCAAATGGATTATAAATAGTCCTACTAAATGCATCTTTGAGGAATGGAAGATGGGAAAATTCAATTTTTATTTTCTAATGAAAACTTACCTTTGGAGATCTTTTGACGGTGAATTCACCGTGTATTACTCTAGTGGGAATAATGGATGACATTAAATGTATTAATATTCATACAACAAATACACTGAGAGAAAATCTGAACTGCAGATAGATTCTTAATTTGCTTTTGCATTTATCTGCATTCTCTTGGAGAATTGCCTGCCAAGCTGTTTGAAAGGACTAAAGGGAAATTAAAATGCTGCATAGGAGTTACGCAATCTGGGACTTTAAAAATAAAGGCTCATCACAGGGAACGCGCAGCCTGAGGCATTCAGGTTTGAGGTTGGGAGTCTTAAGTTTTGGTAGGTAGGGAAAGCTTTATGATTTACTGTTTTGAAATAAATGCAGGTTTGGGTTTTACAAACATAATCTGAAGTTTCCTTGGCTGGAGGACAATTGCTGTTCTTTTGCAGCTTTCTTATTGAAGCCCCGTGAATCTTCTAGAATAGAAAAAATTATGCAAAGGAGGAGAGTAACCGAGAGAGCTATATTTAGTAGCTACTTCAATAATTTCTGTATTTATTGTATTGTTTTATCTGTAGTCTCTCCTGAAAAGAAAGGGAATGGAAACTAGAGAATAAGGAAACAAAGGTTGATGTAAAATCCCCTCTGTTCTATTCTTGGATGCCAGAAAACACATATCATCTTTGTATTTCTTTCATGCCTTGGGAAAAAGAGTATTCTGGGAGTTATTAGAGAACAGAATTGGTTTCTGTCACATCCTGACAATGATATGGCTACTCTTAGAATATTTTCCCCCTAAGAATAGCCCTGCCTATTGCTGTTATTACATCCAAATAGCTGTTCTGCTTCCATATTTCTGTTCCTGGAAGCCTGCACAAGTAGGTAAGCTACACACAGTGAAAAATGTCTGAGCTTGTTTTGTCTCTTGCTGCTGTTTATTCCCCTGTTCCTTGGTTGCTCTGCTGTAACCTGGGCTCCTTTCAAGGTAGGGAAGCGAGACATCAGGCAGCCTACAGCAAGTCAGAGGTAGAGGCAGAGGTTGAGAAAGCCTGTTAAGCATGGTAGAAAACAAAGAGAGGGAAGAGGAAGCCCTGAAGCACTTTCCATTTGTATCTCCTGCATATACACATGCCTTTCCTGTCCTGGGAATTAGGGAGGAATAAAGATAAGAGAGCAAGATAAGCCACACATAATACAGTGAAAATGGGGTAACAAGGATGTATAGGAATGCAATTCCTGCTTTAAAAGAGCCCTGATCAGGTTGAGTATTGTTGGCTTTGCTTTGTGTTTTGGCCCCAGCTGCTTTTTGGGAGCTCTGTTCTGAAACTACCCTAATAGCATGAATATCAAGAAGAAAGAAACTGATACAGTGCTTACTTTAGAATGACCATTCCTTTTGAGCTTAGATTTATCATTTAGCTACAGATCATGGTTTTAAGGTGTGTGGATTATAAAAAGGAAATTGAATAGTTTCCATGGAGGTTTAAATCTGTTTTCCTCACTACTTTTTTCTAGTTCCGGGATTATTGTGTCATCTGCTTACGGTGGGAGTGGCCTGGATCTCCCAGATCTTTGGAAAAGTGCAATCTAGAAGCATCATTTTTTGAAGGACACTTCTTGAAAGTCCTCTTTGAAAGAATGGGCAGGATTCTTGATCAGGTAAGAAAAAGCAGGTTATCAATGACAAATTTGACATGGTGGATGCTAAAGTCCAAAGTGAAAAACGTGGAAAAGCCTTTAGTGGGGACACAGTACTACTTAGAGATTGTGTTCAATGTCTTTTTTGCTTTGTCACAACACTGTAGGTAGTTCTTGTGGTTTTATCAGTTTTTATCAGTAGATATGAGAAACCTTTGCAGAGATGGAAGTTATCATTGTCCTGGTTTCTGACAGAAGACAGCTGAGGCACACAAGTGAAGTAACTTGTTTCAAGGCTGTCAAATCTAGTGCCTCATCTGGCTGACAGTACCTCCTGTTATTATTATACATTTCTACGGAACTGACTGTTCCCTAAGAATTCGTAAGAATTTCCTAAGAATTTAGTTTTAGATAAATTTTTTAGGATGTTATCTGCTATAAGGCTTATACTGAGTCTGCTGGCATATGGACAGAAATAAAAGCTCTGTGTGAAGAAGCAGCTTTCCTTAATGCTCTCAATTAGTTCAAATCGCAACAGCAATCTGTCTGAACAATGCAGCACGTGTTCCTACTTTGTTTCCTTCTCTCCTTGTGAACGACAGATAATGCTCATGGCTTCAAAGCTTCCTAATGAATTCCCTGACTCAGCTCTAAAGCCCTTCTGCAGCTCAGCTAGGTAGGCAGCGGGATGGTTCCACAGCGGAAGGAATTTGCATCTCTGGCTGCAGAGTAACTTTTCCACAATAATTCAAAATGTAGTGATCTCTTTTACCCATAACATCCCTGCTCCAGGCTCTGAAAGCTTCATTTGTTAGAAGATTGGGATGAATCTATCGCTGGAGTATCAAGTACAGAAATAACTGTCATTGATTGAGAGAAATCTGTGCTTTCACTGCAGAAGATCTGTAGGACAACTCCCTTTGCAATGCAGTAGCGTGTGGTAATGAATGCAGGAATAAGGTGCTAGTTAGGTGTCCACAGCTAGTGAGTGGAAATTTTGTCAGAACAGCCCTGGTACTCTTTGGAGCTGTTAGACTGAAGAGCAAGTAGATGTCTCTCTCAGTGTGAAGTGAGTCACCATCTCAGCTTCCGTGACTGTATTGACTGAACACTGACTGGGTTGCCCGAACTGAGGGATCCGTTGGCGGTTTTGTGATGCCCAAGATGTTCTCCCAAGGTTGTGGTTACAACATGGATCTCGCAGGATCCACCCTCTTGTGGAACTGTCAAGAGACCAGCAGACACTCTGGAGCATCTGAGGTGGCACGAGATGTTTGCGTGTGGGCAAGTGCATTAAGAGGCAGGTCTCTGATGAGTAGGCTAATGCGAGCTTAGACTTGCAGACACCTCTAAATATATCTGCCTTAATCTGAATTCTTCCAAATCTTACAGTCTGGAAAAGGGAAGAATCTGTTCTCTGATTCTTCAGTGGGATGCTAACTTGAGAGCATAAAGATGATAAATTGAGCCCGTGAATTCATCCCCTTCTAGACGTGATTGTGCCACAGAGGCTGTTACTGCCGCTCTGCACTTGGAGGGATTGAATGAGGGCCCTGAAATCCACTTTGGGTAAAATCACCAAGGTTTGGTTAAACCATCTGGGTGTTGGTAACATCTTCAGACTGGCCTAGGTGTGTACCGAGGGAATGTCTGTCCATCTCTTACCAATGTCTCTTCCACCACTGAATTGATGGAAGGAAATTCTACCAGTCTGCACTTTAGGGCTGAATTAAATGTCAGCTTGTTTTCACTGTGGTGGAAAAAAAGTGCTTGGAACGTGAAGAAGGTAGGGTGAAAATACTTGTTTATGAAATGAGTTTCTCACTGGAATGATAAAATCCTTTAAGCTAGGCACCGTTATTTTCCTAGAAAGTTAGATACTATTTTTTTCCTTATGACTGATGAGCGTCTTCCAGCATCTGAGTGTTGCCTTTCCCATTTGGTTAATTTGGGGAAAAGAGGTGGAGAAGCAGCTCAGAATTTCACGCTGCTTTCCCAGCCTAGGACTGTCTCACCTCCTGTAGCTGCCACAAGATGCCTGTGCCTTCTGCAACGGTTCTTTCCAAGAAAAAAGGAAGTGGAAGAGAAATACCATATCAGCTGTAAACATGGATTTGTCTCACAATTTCCTGAGCTCGTATGCTTTACAGTTCTCCGAGAGAAGCAAGCAGATGTTTCATCTAGGCTGATGCTATGCTATTTGTTTAGCTACTGAGCTGAAGAAATGTTTTACAGGAAGAGGACGTACCCTAAAATAAACAAGTGTGCAAAAGCTTCAAGTGCTTGTAGCTGTTACACAGATAACAACATTTAATACTCAACTGTCACATTCGCATCACTCCTGTCGTGGAAAGCAGAGGTTTTGGGCCTTTCTTCTTATCTGTCTTGTTATATATTCATAACCCTGTATATAAGATCTTGGTAGTTAAACACTGGCTGGATGAGAAGCGTGGAAGTAACTAACCACTGTGGTTTTTCCTTTTTTTGCAGCCCTATGATGTAAATTTACAAGTTACGTCAGTGTTGTCCAAACTGTCCTTGTTTCCCCACCCTCACATACACGAATACCTTCTGGATCCTTACGTAAACCTGGCGTCTGGCTGCAGGTCTCTCTTCTCTGTTATTGTCAGGGTGAGTAAACAGGGGTCATATTTACATATTTACATACTATACAGCAGTGATGTATTTAGTAACTTTATAGTTAGCAGTAGTAGTTTGTGGCTAGTTGAAGTTGGAAAATGGTTTCTAGCTGAAAATAGATACTTATGCTCTGGCTTTGAAAATCAGAATTATGCCTTTTCTTCCAAAAACATGGAAAAAGGTATTTCCCAGTGTTTATTTTCATTCTGCATGTCTTTAAAATTATTGTTTGTTTGCTTAGTTGCATTGTGTAGATGCAAAATATCCCCTCTGGCAGCGAGGTTGCTTTAAACTGGGCTAGGTGACGTTGTTGTCACTTGCAGGCAGTGTCTGGGCAAACAGCCCCTACAGGTTTGCATCTGGGTGGGAAGGAGATGGCTTCAGTTCAGACACAAGCAAAGGACGCTCCTGAGTTCCCTGTGCCTGGATGAATATCTCTGCTCATCCCCCTTTTTTTTTTTTTTTTTTTTTTCTGGTGAAAGCTGTTCTTGACAATGCAGCCCTGGATTTATGGAAAGTCCCCTTCCTTTCCCTCTGTGATTCCAGCTCTCCCTGCCAGACCTGCATCCTGGAAGTGCTGGCTGGGTGCCTCTCTCTCCGCAGTCTCCTCAGTCGGAGATCCCTCGCCTGCCCCACGCACCAGCTGTAATTAAGCTGGTCAGGAGCCTGTTAACGATGCTTGCCCAACGGAGGGCTTAGCTCCCTTTTTCCCAGCAGCCTTCCCCGTTTCAAAATCTAATCTTCACTCTCTCCCCTTGTGCTTTCCTAAACCCAGGAATTTACTGGTCAATTGCCTGCATCAATATTTACTAAGACAAATTAATCGTTGGCGTAATTAAAATGAGTAATGACATTTATGGCAACAGCTAGGAAGGCTCAAGAGTTCCTGTCCTTTTGTAGCTCTTTACTTTCTGCACCCACTCACCCTTGTTTCAGGGCAGAGCTACTCTGCCTGTTGTTTAGTGACCCTGTGGGGATGCTGAAGGTGGGTCTGCGTCCTGGGGACCGAGGGATTGTCACTGAGCCCTGCTGCCGGGCGCTCTGCAGAGGTGTGAGCTCAGTGTGCTGATGGCATGGTGCTTTACGTGGTGCTTTACGTGGTGCTTTACGTGGTGCTTTACAGGTCGTTGGGGACCTCATGGTTAGAATCCAGCGCATCCCAGACTTCACTCCCAAACTTCTGCTGGTCAGAAAACGCCTGCTGGGCTTGGAGCCGGAAGGGCCCATGTGAGTAAATACATTTCCTATTCTCCAGGCCCCACGGCTGGTTTTTTTTGCGTGTGCCTTTCCTGATTCTCTGCCGATTCCTGTTTTTTCCTCTCTCCCTCAGCATTGACCACATGACGTTACTAGAGGGCGTGATTGTGCTGGAAGAGTTCTGCAAGGAGCTGGCAGCCATTGCCTTTGTCAAGTATCACGCCTCCTCCACGCCGTAAGCAGCCCCGCTGAGCGGGCAGGCCAGGCCTCCTGCCCTGCCTCAGTCCCAAAGACCATTGACTGCACCCAGGGGAGAAGAGCTGGTGCCTCCTTGCAAAGTGTGGGTTGGCGTTTGGCAGAACTGGAAGGCAAGTTGCTTTCACCAGATGTTGAGGTGGCGAGAGAAAGGGATGGAAATGGACCTAGGGTAGGATGGAAGGCATTTTGGGAGAAACCAATACACAGCATTTCCGGCCACTGTGTGAAAAGAGCTGCAAAAGCTGCGTGAAGAACCACAGCCATCAGCCCTCGGGTGTTCTAACGACAACGTTTAGAGAGTTGGGTCTTCTGTACGTCCTGGGGCTCACGTGCGCCAATTCGCTTTTTGTGACCATAGTACTTTTAAAAAGCAAATTAATTTCATAACATTTTTATGTCTTAATTCTTTTTCTTTTCAGTTGGATCTATGGAAGGAAATCACAACTATAGTTGAAATGTGTATTATTAAAAATGAGGAGGTGCAAAAAATCCACCAATCCATATAGAGTGGGATATATTAATGAGGAATCATTTTTGTTCTGGTGAATCTTAAAGACAGCTCTGAGCTTGATTCCCCAGGGGATTACTCCAGGAGAGATATCAGTATAAAATCAGTAGTAATGGAGTTAATCCTCATTCAGCATCACATCCCTAACAAACATACCTGAAGTGCACATGTTTCTAGCATGTTTGTCTCTGTCGTTCCAAGGGATTGCTCTTCAGGTCACCTGTGTAACTAGATTTGCTTTAGGATTTTGCTTGTGAACTCCAGTTGCTTGACTTACGTCACCTTTACAGGCAAGTTAATTATAGGTCATTAGTAGTTGTTGCTGAAACAGTATTTTTAATTTCTTTTAAATTGGTATTTAGCCTGAATTGGTTTAAGAATCTTTTGTGCCTTGCAGATTGGAAGCGTAACCATTCTGTCATTTTTGGAACTGTTCTTATTGCTTGTCTATCCATCGCAGCAGCGCCCGGCAAAAGATTGAGCGATGCCAATTCAGTTGATACCATATATAGGACCAAAATTTGCTCCTGTGTTTCCTGGTGCTGGGATGCACAGACGTCCCTCAGTGAATCTGTTTCTACGTGGACACTTTCAGCTAGGGCAGGCATCTCCATGGGAAGCAGAGGGCCGTCGGGTGGGTTTCCCCAGCGGGTCCTCACCCCTCTCCTCCCACCAGGAACAGACCAGTGCAGGCACCGGGGTAGAGTTTAGCTCCTTGTGTTTACACCCTATTTCTTTGTCTTTCCTCCTGTCCTATTTGCACAGCTCATGCCCGTGTCAGATGTGATTGCTCCTACACAAATGTGCACTAATTCAGTCACGAGAATTTTTCTGGATTTACACGACTGTACCTAGAATCAGACTCTGCTCTGAATCCATGCCTTTGGAGGTCTTTTTTTTTTTTGTTTCCAAATATTTTTGGATCCTGGACGCTGAGCGGCCTTTTAAGTTAGCAGGTTAATTAGAATAGTGTCACAGTTAATGGGCTAAATTTATTCTTTTCACAGCAGTGAAGAGGGTCCTGCTGTAAAAGCTCCCAGTACCGGTTCGGCTGGAGAGAGCCGTTCTGGAACTGGGGAAACATTTTGGCAGGAAAAACCTGTATTCAGTGGCTCCCTGTACTGGGAGACTTTTGTACAAAGCTTTGCATTTATCTGGCAGACAAAAGCATGTTTTACTTCTTCATCACCTTTTTTTTAGTTTTCTTTCCCCTAAATTTAGCCCCAAAGTATTTTCAGGTCAAAGCAGCATAGTAGGATAAAGTGTAAAGAAGTGACACTTTTTCATTTTTGTTCTTTAGAATCATACCTTGAAAGGAGCAGATAATGTTTGGTGATAGGTGTTGCAGTCAGTCCAAGCTTCGTTAATGTGACGGACCTGACACGTAGTTTAGAACATGTAAGTGTCTATGCAGAGTGATGTTTTATACATACATTTGTTATAAATAAGGTCCCAATTCAGCAAAGCAATTAAACAAAAGCTTAATTTCAAGGATTTTATTCCTAAATCACAATCTCTTACATGACCAAGTTAAGCTGTTGAGCAAAAATGCTGATGCTTTACTGAATTTGGGTCTTTGTTGGGTTTGCTTGAGTTTAATTACTCTTTCCTCAAATTTTCTATTTTCATTATTTATTTTTTTTTAAAAGTGTATGTACCAGAATACTTCTAATGTCCCCAATTTCAGTGGAAACTGGAAGCGATAACATTATTATAAATGAAAGTGACAGAAACATTAAACAAAACTTGCAAGAGCATTCCAAGTAATGTAACCATTTATGAAGCCATCCAAGAGATGCCTGATCTCAAATGAAAACATTAACATCACCTCTGTTGTTGTTGCTGTTGTTGTTTTCACCGACACCTGAGCTCATTACTCTGTGAGGAATGGTGTCCCTCAGCTTCTGGAAGGAGCGCTGCAACCTCTGCAACCTCTCTGGCATTTTAATGCAGAACAGTCAACTGAGCTGCAACCCTCATTTCTTCACCCTTGTCCATCAGAAAAATAAGTAGATTTAACTATAAGCATTCTTAAATTCAGGACATAATTGTTTGGTCTCCAGCAACATTGGTGATGTTCTTGCAAACCAGATGTTATTTAGGTGATAAATTTGTAAGACCTGGATCCAGCCTGATAGAAGTGAAGAAATCCTTTGGGTTGCTTCAGCCTGAACTGCTTTAGTGAGCGCTGCCTGCAGACCCTTCATTACCACACATGGTGACAATGACCTTTATTTTTGTAGAAGTGATTTAATTTTCCTTAAGAGATGGAACTCATTTAATTATTTTTTGTGGTAATATTTTTCATGCACTTTTTTTTTTAAAAAAAAGGAAAAAGGTTAGAAGTTAGTTCAGGTCTGTGTTTTCACCTTTCCCATCTATGCATGTCCTTGAGGTGCCCGTTTTGTTTCTGTGTGTGTGTGTCTGTGTGTGGTTATTTATTACCCAGAGGTGGACACCAGGGAAAGGTATGGCCTGAGGCTCTCAGCATGTGCAGACCCTCCAGGTGTGGGTGGGAAGTGCCAGTGCTCATCACCTTAGGAAACAGGGCCCCTAGGATTAGATTGAAATACTTGAGAGCTAATACTAGGATAATTTTTTATTTCAAAAAGCAGATCCAAACCACATTTTAATCACGATGCACATGTCTGTACATAGACACATTTTGACTTTTTTTTTTCCATTTCTAGTATGTATTTGATTTAGACTCCAATAGAGAAGATTTTGTAATAAGCCATGTGCTAGCTCTGGTAGAAGAAGTTTGCCCTTAGTTTCTCATCTGACTGTAATATTCCTGGTATTCAGATCCTGTCTGTGTAATGTTCTTACTATGTATTTGTCTGTGCAATATAAAAGCTGTGACCCGATACACAGCTTGAGTCTGGTTGTACATCACCTATGTATATATATACAGATATATATATATATATAAGGACCAGAATCCCGAGCTTGCTTACACTACGATTAGTGTAAAGATCGTCGCACTCGATTTTACAGGGCACAAGTAATCATGGAATGGCTTTGCCAATGCATGGTAATTTCTACCATAACCCGCAGTGGAATTTCACAGATGACATTTTATTAGTGCTATTTGTCTTGTTAAAAGAAATGCTAAAGCAGAAGTGCTGGGTGACACGGAAGGATGATGGAGTAGACTTGGGGCTACATGGGAAATCCATATCTGGTATTGCTTATCATACGGGGTTTTCACACCATGATCCTCAATGCTTCCTGTGCCCTGTAAAATAGTGTAACTATATAAAATATATACTCCTTGTTTTGCCTCCTGCCTTGTTTACATTAAACAGAGGATATTGAGTAAAATTTTTCTATTAAACTTTGTGTAGGTCACTTACTGACAGTGTTGCCAAGGTTTCACAGGTGTGGGATTTCCAATGAGGAGTTGTTGAAACAGCCGCCTCACCAGACATACCGTATTACATTTTATGAAGGAGGTTGTGATAAAATCCAACTTTTTGTGCTAAAAAAGAAATGCATGGAGGATTAAAAGGGATATTCTCAAAATAAATTAATTTCAACGAAGCGGCTGCTTCTATTATTACAGAATCCGTACCAGGTTTTGTTTGGATGACCTTGAGACAGAAGATGTTTTAACATTTTACGTCATGCCTTTCATCCTGAAGTCCTTTCATTTATTTTGAGTCTGTCGCTGCAGCATCTTGTGGGATAAACCCGTTCCCTGTCCTGCGCTGCGCGGGGCTCGGAGTCAGTCAGCAGGCTCTGGCCCATCAAAATTGGAAGCGAAGGGAAAGGGCCAGGCTGGACTCATCCCCAACGCAGGTTAACGCCCGCTCTTCCCCAGAGCTCTCCCATCTTTCGAGGCTGCAGCTGGTCAGGATCTTGGTTTCCTATTGCATTTGAGGACAGAGTGTGTCAGTCCCGGCACTGGCTGATTGAGTTGGGTAGAAATGTCAGCTCCGTGAGTGAGCGGCGCTTCTTACTTCAGGGCCTTTGAGAAAAGCTTTTATACATAACGCTTTTATATTTTTTTAAATTGTGTTTATTGGGTATTTTTTCTTAGTATCTCATCTACTTTTGGTGTCCTTCAAGTTTTCATCAGCCTTTTAAAAATCTTAGCGCTCTGTAGGATGCCCTTTGAGGGCTACACTTGGATGTTAAGCTGTTTCTCCTCCTCAGTATTTAACAGCTGCAAGTGCTCTTGCATCTTTAACAAGAGGAGCGCTCCGGCAGGATGATACACTTGACAGCTTTTTTTATAGCTCTCAGCATCTTTCCCCCTTCCCCTTGGGCCTCAGAGATTGTCATCTCCCACCCCAGATGGTTTATTTGCCGTACCTGCATGAGCTGTTATGAGATTCAGGGACACTTTGCTTCTTCAAGCAGGGAGGAAGTTGGATCAAAATTGCACATTTTATATCTTCTTGTATTTGTCTCTTACTCTGATATCCCTGAAATGACTGGATTATTGAAGCATGATGATCATACGGCACTTGCATTCTGATGTAAGATCTGGGGGCTCTACATCCTATTGGAAAAAAAACCCGGAGTATCGTCAGCGTGTGGTCCCTACTTCATATTCATTACCTCATTTTACAGGTTCTCAAAGTTCTCAAAGCAGGTACAAGTAACGCGGGATCCACTGCATTTGTTACCCTTTAAATATTAACAGAACTGCGACTGTCAAAGCCTCGAGGATTTTTCTAGTTTGGTGTGTGATCCAGTTGGATTAAAGTGGATTAATGCTCGGAGAAGTGAATCTGTCACAACTTTCATCAGCCCTTTTGGCCTAAACCCGTGTGTTCCTGGTGCATCCTTGATCAGCCGAGGTTCCCTCTGGAGGGTGAGAAAGAGAACTGAGGAGCAATTTAGGAATCAAGTGAAGCATATGGTGGATTAAAGTTTTCAGGTGTCAGAAGCTTCTTGGGAATGCCAAAAAAGAAAGTGTGAATAGTCAAATTTTACAAGTTTGCAGCGGTTGCTGGCGTTGCCTTTGGAGTCAGATCTGTGGGGATCAAAAGACGCATCTTGGAAGGCGCTGTCTCACCGGGCTGTTGCAGTTGCCATGGGTAGGGTGGTGTGTATATTCCCAACTACATTTCATTACATTCCTGCTGGTTATTACAAAAATGCTTCTGGTGATATAAAATCTGCTAGAATAGTGCTGTGGAACTGAAAACTTTGTCAGTGTCTTGTAGCTTTGATGAAGTAGACACATCTCGCTGGCTTCGCCTTTCTGCTCTACAGCATCGTAATTCAGGAGGGGTTTGTGTGGTGTCCCTTCCCTCTGGGAAAACGTTTTATGAACTGAAAAATATGGAAGCACATGAAAGGAAGGAGCCCATTACGGTGCTAGCCTGGAGGAACATGAGGAAAAGCATATTTTTCTTAACTACCTTTATTTTCTGAAAAGGTGAATCTCGTTATATTCTAAAGTGAACAGTTCTCTGAAATAAGAACTGTTGAAAAGAGGGAGGGAATCCTCCGCAGAGAGCCCAGGGTGGGACGTATAAACCTGCTTTAGAAATCTGCACCGGGGACAGCAGAACCAGGACATCTGCATTATCTGTTTCCAGATGTAGAGTTTCCCCATTTCCAGTTTGGAGAGATGAAGCAGCTGAAAATCTAAGCCTTTGTGCCCAGTAAGAACATGTCCCAAGACTACAGGACGTTCTGCAGGAAACAGCAGAAGGTATTAAGCTGATTTAGGAGAGGAGGGCAATAGAGGTAACTAAGTTTAGCATAGTTAAATTATGGCTTAGGGTTAGAGGAACATTACTTCCCAATAAAAAGATTTGAAAGCCTTAAGCTTCCTCAAGGAATTATGGAGCCTAATTTATCGGAGTGCAATTAAGAATGAAGTAATGTCATTGAGGAAAACTGATATTCATTGTCGATGAAAACTTCCTGACCACGAGTGCTGCTGGACCAGGAGAAGCGGAAGGAGCCTGTAACCTCACACTTTTAAAACCAGACTGGGCAAAACATAGAATATTCCTGGGGGAAACCAGCCTGTGGGGGTGAGACGATGAAGTAAACGTGCATTTACATCCTCAGGCTCCCAGGTAATTAACGGCTCCTGAATAACTCCTGTGTGTTCTGCTGGAAGCAGCGAGACGGCCTGATCCACTTGAACGTCTCCTGTAAATCAGGAAAGTTGATGCGATCTGAGAAAAGCCATTTTCACCCTTCCAAAATGTGACAAGCTCTCTGCGGCGGCAGCACCCACCCCGGCAGGGGGTGGCACAGCCTGATCCGTGGGGCCAGGGTCCCCCCACGCTGAGCTGCCTGGGAGAGAAGAGACAAATCCCCTGTGCTCCCAATCGTCATTATCCTTCACTCCAGAGACCCACTGCTGCTCCCCTCATCTCCGCAGCCCCAGGAAGCACCTGTCAAGTTTGTATTTCTTAATTTGGGTCATGAATTTTTATTTCCTAAGGTTTTCAGAGCCACCTATTTTTACCCTTAGCAGGATGTCCATCAATGCTGCCCATATTTCCAGACAATTTTCCTTGCAGCTCCCCGTGAAGGAGAGAAATCTGCGCGTTCCTTATCCCGCCTTTTGAGACTCGCGCTCTCCTGCCTTGTTAATTCCATCCTTTCAATTCCCTGAAAATGTGTTTCATCTCGTCCTTCACCTTGGGGATTCTGCAGTCAGCAGTTTGTGCAGCGCAGCAGGCAGGGAGGGAGGGACAGCGCAGAGAAAAGCGGAGCTGCTCCTGCCCCCCGGGAGATCCCACCTACGAGCCGATGTGGTGGGGGGGGCTGTCAAGAAGGTAAACCTGAGCCCGCTGAGATCCATGGATATTTTGCCCATCAGTAGAAAGGATGCAAAGGCCTCACTCCCTGCTCTGCAAACTCATTTTGGCATATCTGAAAATGTTTTACTTTTTTCAGAAGGAAAATGGGAATGAAAATTATCAAAGCAAAAAATTGGATTCCTAAGTTTCCTCTGGTGCCTGAAGAAAACTATAGCTTGGTGGTGTTTAAAAGACAGATATTTAAGGAGACACCTTCTACTGCATGTCTGCACCAGCAGCGACCCAGCAGCATTTCTGAGCTCACCAACAGCCCTATGTGACACCGGCCCAGCACAGGGACAGGGGACCCACATCTGCTTGGGCAAGTTGGGGACAACTGGGGTCTTGGACCAAGAGTTTGTAACCCTCAGAGGGGATCTTACAGCCAAGGACAGGAGAACCAGATTTTATAGATACAGGAAATATATACTTCATATATTTCATATATATACTTCATATAGTTCATATTTCCAATTGTTCAAAATTTTATTGTTTTGATGGTGCTTCTTTGTTCAAATAATCAAAGACAAATTCCAAAGGAACCAAAGCCCGAAGAACTTGGGATCCAAATTCAGTCACCCAAATGTCTTGGCCTTGCTTACACAGGCAAAAACTTGTCAGGAACACCTAAAATACACCTTAAAGGCAACGATAACCAAAATATTACCCTCTCAGAGCCATAGGGCAGAAGGCAGCTTTGCTGTTGGTACATAAGACCTTATGTTAACAGCTTAGAATTCTGCTGTTCTCTGACTTTTCGCCGAAATTTAGGAAAAGTAGTACTAATACTGGGTAAATCATGCAGCGAAATTGTGCAAGCTGTTTCATACTATATACATTAAACGTCTGCTTCCCTGGAGCCATGGTCTCAGCTTGGATCATTAAATAAGGAGTTGGTTTAATATCAACCAACAAATCACAATAAACCTTGATGTTTCCAAGATGGCAAATATGCAGGAAACTAGATTTATCAGACCTTATTTTTACATTCTAAAAGATCAAGAGTGAGCACAAACCCTTTTTTCCCCCCTTTTATAATTAATTCCAAATGTCAATTTGATCTACTAATATGAATCTAATTGCCAAATTTCTAAAATAGGGTTGCCTTTTTGTTTCTAAATATCAACCAAACAGAATAATGAACAAATAAATGCCTTGATGTGATGAAATGTGACCGGTTTAACCAGTGGGACAGTACCACAGGTCCAAGATCATTCTCTCTGGTTCATGTCTCTCAAGTGAGATGCCAACACGAAATGTTACGACTGGTTTTCTCTAAGAGGGGAAAGCTGCAACACGAGTTTCTACTTTTTACTTCTGGGGTAGAAAGTGGAAGTACATTATGATGGATAGTTTGGGATTATGGTGTACTTACTTATCCTGTTACCATTATTTGTTTATTCCATTTCAATTTATTTCAGAAAGAAGCATTGGTGTGGGAGCTGTAGATAATCTGATGCTAATAATTCCAGACGTGTGCAGCAGTTGGTGCCAGCTCAAGGAACGTATTACTTTTTACCCCCAATCACTGTGTCTCGTTCTGCTAATTGTTTAGTTATTTTTTAAGCAGGTTGCTTGCTATCCGCACACCGAGGTGATGCTGAGTAATCACAGCAATTTTGTTGGGTTTGTGGTTTTGAGTGACAAACATGTTTTTTTCTCCACGTGACAGCTGGATGACTTGGTCTATTAATAGAGGAAGCTGTCACAGAGGAATTACATATATAGACTTCATTTAACTTTTTTAAGTGCAAGCTATATAGA